TTATTATCATCATAACAATAATGATAATAGTAATAATAATAATAATAATAATAATAATAATGATAATGATAATGATAATGATAATGATAATGATAATGATAATGATAATGATAATGATAATGATAATGATAATGATAATGATAATGATATTATTATTATTATTATTGTTATCATCATCGCAACAATAATAAATAACAATAATAATAATAATAATAATAAAAATAAAAACACTAATTATTATTACTATAATAATAATAACAATAACAACATTAATAATAATAATAATAATAATAATAATAATAATAATAATAACAATAATAATAACAATAAAATAGAAACAGTTACAATAACAGTAACAATAACGATAACATTGACAATAATAATAAAAACAATAATCATAATCAATCATAACAACCATAATCATAATAATATAAAAATCTATAATAACAATAATACTGGTAATGATAACAATAACAATAATAATAATAATAATAATAATAATAATAATAATAATAATAATAATGATAATATTAATAATAATAATAATAATGATAATAATAACAATAACAGTAATATTAGTAATAATGATGATGATGATAATAACAATAATAATAATAATTACAATATCTATAATGATAGTAAGAGTAAAACAATAATGATAATAATAAAAACAAAGATTATAATAATGACAATAATAATGACAACTGTAAAACAATGATTATAACAATAATGACATTAACAATGAAAACACTTATTACAATGTTGACGATACCAAGAAATATAACGCCAATGATTATAGCAATTTATAAAACATCAACATACATAATGACAATAACAGCAACAGAATCACTAATACCAATCACAACACTAATGACAAAACAACAATATTCATCATCACAACTGCCCTAAATAAAATCCGACCACCTACCTATACAATAATGATAATAATAACAATAATAATGATAATTACAATAAATATAATGATAATTATAAAAACTATAATGATAATAATAGTAAAAACAATAATGATAATAATAAAAACAATTATTATAATAATGACAATAATAATGACAACTGTAATACAATGATTATAACAATAATGACATTAACAATGAAAACACTTATTACAATGTTACAATTTATTGCAATTACAATTACTTATTACAATTACCGACCACCTACCTATACAATCCTCACTGGAAACCAAGGTAATAACCGATCTGTTGTAGTCGACGTCCCGGAATATATTGAGGGCCGTGGCGTTGAGAGCCCAGTCCGGGGAAACCGGCTTGGCCCTTGGCGGATTCACGGCTGCCAGGGCCTCCTTCGCGATCTTCTCCACGACGTCCTTCCTCCTCGCTTCTGAGACGTTTAGCATGCAGGCGACGAGCTGGCGAGACATTTTGCTTGCTTTTGTCTACTTGGGGTAGCGCTGTCTGGTCTTTTTTTTTTTTTACTTTTTTTGTTTGGTTTCTCTCTTCGCTGTCTGGTCTTATCGTCTCGTGGCGTTTGTATTATCTACGCCGCGAGGGACTTGAGGACTTGTTGTTTTGGTGTTTGGTGGTTTTATCTTCTTCGTTTGTCTCGATTTTAATGTTTAACTGGAGTCTTCTTCTTCTTCTTCTTTCTTCTTTTATAGGGTCTATATCCCCTGGATCTATTTTCTTTCTTTTTTTCTGGAGTTTTTCCTGAATTCCAAGGTCCGTCTTTCGAGGTTTGTTTACACGGACCAGCTGATATTGTTCAAATCGAGTGGCTCTGACTTCGATTCCATTTTTAATTTTATTTATAATTCATACCGTCATATTAACCGTCACTTCTTACATGTATTTTCTATATATTTTTTAATATTGCGTAACAGTCATGTATTTGTTCATAATGAGAAATATCGGGCAAAACAAGTACGGAGTATGGTTATTTTTGCGAACGAACACTTTGCTAGTTCAACTGCCCACATAAAATCATTTTTCCAGGAATAGACAAACTAACTTTGATTTAATATTCTGTAAGGGCCACCATACCCCAAAATTCATTTAACTTACGAGAGAAAAAATAAGGCTCAAAACATATCAACACTCCCCCACGAAATATTCAAGACAAGAAAACCATCGGAATACCATTTAAAAATCCATAAAACATTCCCATTCTCCAAATTATACTAACAAATCCCAAATATCCCATCTAAAACAGAAGATCATATACTTTTTCCCACAAATCTATTAAAAAAGACAATACAACATTTCCACAAATTTTGGTCGGGTAGTCGAGCGCCCTCCTTCCTCGAGGCCAGCACGCATGCGCGAGTCAGTGCCCTCAACGACGCCATCGGGATAGTGTCAGACGTCGCTCGGTCCGTCGCGAAAACCCTTAATCTGAGTGAACTGGAAGTCGATGTGCTTGCGAGTGTGAAGAGTGAATAGTGTTATGTGCTATGAGTGTATACCCGATAAGGAATAGTGAGCAGAGCGCCCTAGGATAGCGATTTGCCCGGTCGAAGAAGGTGAGTGTGAGGGAATCCATCTGTTAGCTCAATCAACCTCCCTTTTCCTTCTTCCTTCTCCTCCTTCCTTCTTTCTCTCTTCTTCTTCCTCTTCCTCCTTTCGCTTTCGGTCGGAGGTCGTGAATAACTTTAGCAGAATGAAGGAAGAGAGAAGAGGAGGAGGAGGAGGCGGTTGTGTGTTTGGCTGTTTGGTATTTATTGACTGGAATCGAGTCTCGGGAACTGTTGGGAATTCTCTCTCTCTCTCTTTCTCTTTCTCTTTCTATCTCTCTCTCTCTCTCTCTCTCTCTCTCTCTCTCTCTCTCTCTCTCTCTCTCTCTCTCTCTCTCTCTCTCTCTCTCTCTCTCTCTCTCTCTCTCTTTCTCTCTCTGTTTTTTACCTTCCTCTGTTTGTCTCTCTCTCTTTCTCTTTCTATCTATCGCTCTTTCTTTCTCTTACTATCTGTCTCTCTTTCTTTCTCTATCTATCTATCTATCTATATATATATATATACATATATATATATAATGTGTGTGTGTGTGTTTATCTTTTCCCTCACCATTTCTGGAACTGCTCTTGTAATATTTAATTTCTTTATGTATCACGAAACTTAATTTATCTAACAGCTTTTTATTTACTACCCTTTGATTATTTGTGTTTTCCTCGTTACATTACATCACAGGCCTATTAACCATATGTTTTTTTTTGTTTTGTTTTTTTTGTAAGATCGTATTTTTTGTTTACTACTAACTGTCATTTTGATTTTTTTCTAATTATATTTGTCGCATTTCAACAATTTATGCGTTATTTTTTTCTTTAATTTATTTTTTTGTATTTTTAGGTATATGTTGAGACTTCTGTGTTCTGACGATGTTTGTTTGTTTGAGATGGAATGGAATAATTATTGAGGGGCCTTCTGTGCAGGAAATTTTAATCTAATTGTTTGTGTTTTTATGCAGTAGTTCTGGTTTTGTAAAAGTAAATAAAGTGCATATTTAGATAGACAGATTGAGAGGCTAAACTGGAGCAGAAGAGGGTATGTTGACCTTTGCCCCCTTCCCCCTTCCCTTCCCCCTCCCCCCCTCACTCTCTCTCTCTCTCTCTCTCTCTCTCTCTCTCTCTCTCTCTCTCTCTCTCTCTCTCTCTCTCTCTCTCTCTCTCTCTCTCTCTCTCCCTTACTCCCTCTCTCTTCTCCTCCCTCTCTCTGTCCCTCTCCCTTCTCCTCCCTCTCCTTCCCCCTCCCCCTCCCCCTCCCCCCCTCGACGTAAAACGGACAACTGCATGGCATAACGGCTTTCATCGGACGCGCCGGACCGTGCTTGCTTGCTTGCGTTTGCTTGTAACGTGACGCAAGGGAGCTGGACGGGAGGCAGCGACGTCTTTGCCACGAGGGGAGCCGGGGGGAAGGGGGGGGGGAATTGGAATCGAGGAGAAGGAAGGGGAGGGGGAAGCGAGGGGAGGGGGAAGGGGAAGGGGAAGCGAGGGGAAGGAAGGGGATGGAGAGGGACGCCTCGGAAACATATGGCAGGGAACGTCGTGTCGGAGGCGCGAGGGCGGTCCCGGTTCTTCGTCTCTGCCTTTCCTCGGTTTTCGGTATTTTCTGCTTCATTTCTTTCGGTCTTTCTTTCTTTTTGTGTTGCCATTCCTGTTTTGGTTTCAGTATCGTCATTGTTTATTTTAGTTGTTCGTTTATGATTTTATTGATTTTTTATTGCTCCTTTCCATTGTTATTGACGTTTTCCTATTTTGTTCTCTTCTTCTTCTTCTTCTTCTTCTTCTTCTTCTTTTTCTTCTTCTTCTTCTTCTTCTTCTTCCACTCCCCTCCTCCGTCCTCCTAATTTTCCTCACTTTCTCCTCCAACATCATCTCCACCTGTGCCCCCACTTCCCTTCTCCTCCTCCTCCAGCATCCTCTCCACTCCCCTCATTCCCGTCCATATTTTCCTATATCCCAAAAAATCCCCTTGCATTTGACCTCATGGTGGGGGGGGGGTCGTAACATTTCTTCCTTCGTTGTTTGTCGCGGATGAAAAGTTACGTTGCCCCTGATAATCTATTTTCTCTCGCTCCGTTTTTTTTCTTCTTCTTCTTTTATCGCTCGTTCATCTCTGTTTTTATTATTATTATTCCCTGTTTTTCATTCTTTAGTTTTTTTTTAATTCTCACTTTCTTCATTTTTCTTTCTCTCTCTCTTTCTCTGTCTCTGTATTGCCTCTGAAGACGAAGGAGAAGGAAGAGAACATGAACGAAAAGAAGAACAAGGAGGGGGGGTGAGGGGAGAAGCTGACCTTGGGGGCGTCGCATCGGCCGCCGCGTGACGTGCCGTGATCGGAGCCTCCGGCCGCGTGACGCAATTCGTTCGGGTTTCACTGACGGACGCGTCTCTCGTCCGTGAGCGGCGGTCAGGCCATATGCTCGTGCTCCGATAAGTGTGTTCCTTACCCCCCCTTCCCCCCTTTGATATGAGACTTCTCCCCCCCACATCCCTCTCTCCGTTATCGGTGTTATCAGTCGCGTTGAGTAATTATGTTTACCCCTGCGCTGGACTGATTGATTGTGTCGCTTCGAAGTTTGGGGAACGTCTGTGGGGTCGCGTCTGTGGATCATTTCTTTTTCTTCTTCTTCTTCTTCTTCTTCTTTATGAGGTGTGGGTGATGTAGGCCTACGATAAGTTGCAGAGTATTATTATTATTATTATTATTATTATTTTGATAATTATTTTTTATTATTAAGTTATTATTATTATTAGTTATTAATTATTAAAGGTGTTAGATAACGGTGGGCTACGTTCATGGTGAGTTGACATTACGTATTTAATCGGGAATTTTAGGGTTAAGCTTATCTCTCACCAGTCTCCACTCTCGCCTTATCTGCCGTGACGCAGCTGATACAGAGCTGTTATCGTGGAGATAACATTTTTGGGGGGTGACGTAAGGGTCATACTTAGCCCTTTAGACGGTGATTTTGTGTGGGTGAGAGAGAGAGAGGGAGAGGGAGAGGGAGAGAGAGGCAGAGGGAGATGCAGAGATGGAAAGAGACACAGAGAGAGATACAGAGATGGAAAGAGAGAGGAAGGAAGAGCGAGTGTGAGTGTGAATGAGTGAGTGAGTCTGCGCGCGGTTTGTACAGGCGTGCATGCGTGCGTGCGTTCTGGGCACCTGCGTGAGTGGCCGTGCGGTCTGCCTTGAGTCGGGAACAGCGCCCACGCGGTGTGGAGTTACCGAGGCCAGGTTCTTCGCGGGATTGCGGGCGTGGGAGTGCTAATAATAATGGCAGTAATGTCGTTGTTGTTACTGTTATCTTATTCTTATCATCATCATCTTTGTTGTTATCGTGACAGTTATTATTATTATTATCATCATTATCATTATTATTATTATTATTATACTTATTATTATTATTATTTATTACCTTTCCTTTTATTATTATTACTCCTATTATTATTGGGCCCTGCGCCTTCCCTCACGTTTGCCGCCGCCTCCCAAGGCGAGCGTGAGGCAGAAGGCCGAGGGAAGCTGCGCCCTCGTGTATGGGCGGGACACTTACCTACGTCAGAATTTCGCAGTATTAAGAGTGGGCCGGTTTTGACCAGGTGTTCGGCGGGTAAGGTGGCCGTAAACAGGTGCCCGGGGCAGTTGCGGGTGACCGTGAACAGGTGCAGGGGGGGGAGGGGGCATCCGTTCGAGCTGCATGTGGTAGAACCTCTTCGTCGTCATCAGCTGGGTGCAGTTCTCTCTCTCTCTCTCTCTCTCTCTCTCTCTCTCTCTCTCTCTCTCTCTCTCTCTCTCTCTCTCTCTCTATATATATATATATATATATATATATATATATATATATATATATATATATATAGACATGTGTGTTTTATGGATAGATAAAGAGATATAAAAAACATATATAAGAAGAAATAGATGGTATGATGAATATATATACTCCTACTTCCCTACCGCGTATTCACATACATAATCTGTGTCGAGCAGCCTCTGTTTTGAGGAATTTGATCGCGCGGAGTGAGTAACTGATTAGGTAATGAGCGGCGGCCAAGTTATATTTGGAAAATGTGAAATGCAGAAGTGAGGTTTGCGGTTCTGCGATTGGTCGCTCGGTCAGGGTTAATTATTGTTTTTTCTGTGTTTTTTTGTTTTTTTTAATCTCCTTTTCTTCTTTGTCTTCATTCCCTCCTTTGTCTTTTACCTTTTATTTCCTCGTCACTCATTTCCATGTCCTTTTTAACTTTTCATCTTTTTTTTCTTCATTTTCAGCTTTAATTACCTATTTTTATTCTATTACTTATCTCCACACTCCATTTTCCATGCCCTCTCCTCACAACTCCCTCTTCCCTCTCTTATCTCCTCCTCTTTCTCGTCCTCCTCCTCCTCGTCCTCCTCCTCCTCCTCCTCCTCCTCCTCCTCCTCCTCCTCCTCTGTCTCCCTCCTTCTCCTCCTCCTTCTCACCTCCCTCTTCCATCTCTTATATCTTTTTCTTCCTCTTCCTCTTCCACCCCCCCCCCCCTTTATGCGAGCCCAGCCGCTTCGTAAGGGCTTTAGGGGCTTCCTCCTTCATCGCCGGCAGGAGGGGGGAGGGGGAAGAATTTTCTGTGTGTCTCTCTGTCTTTGTGTCTGTCTTCTCTGTTTGTCTCTCTTCTCTCTCTTTTCTCTCTCTGTCTCTGTTCTCTCTCTTCTCTCTCTGTTCTCTCTCTGTCTCTGTTCTCTCTCTCTCGCTCTGTCTCTGTTCTCTCTCTCTCGCTCTTCTCTCTCTCTCGCTCTTCTCTCTCTCTCTCGCTCTTTTCTCTCTCTCTCGCTCTTTTCTCTCTCTCTCGCTCTTTCTCTCTCTCTCTCGCTCTTTCTCTCTCTCTCTCTCTCTCTCTCTCTCTCTCTCTCTCTCTCTCTTCTCTCTCTCTGTGCTGTGTGTGTGTGTGTGTGTGTGTGTGTGTGTGTGTGTGTGTGTGTGTGTGTGTGTGTGTGTGTGTGTGTGTGTGTGTGTGGTGCAGCGGTAGCGATCTCGTCTAGCAATCTTGCTGAC